ATACCGTAGTTTTATTACAATGTGTTTAATAACGACGGACTCTAGTAGAGAACAGTGTTAGAGTTAATATGGCTTTATGCCTCAGCCAGCAAATCACTTATACCCCCATCGTATTGGACCATATACCTGATATATAAATATAACTTCCATTCCTTCATATCACTCTACAGGTTTTAAATGTTTTAAATATAGGATACTTTTTAAACTCATTGTGGAGGAAGAACACGAGGAAAATCACACATTCAGCTGCACTAATAAACCATGGATCTTTATGTGCAAATATATTCGTTGACTCAGAAACCACCGATAACCATTATGAACATGGCTGGTGCATTCCCACTGAAAAACGGTGAAAAGTCCTACTGCTAAGTTTGTATTGTATTTCCAGGGATTGGAGTCCTGATAACGAAAGTATCTGCAAGAAGATTTGCTAAGAATACTTTGTACATGTGTATATGCGATCACAAATAATAGCCGTTTGTTTTGATACTGCACACAAAGATATTTTTACGATTATAGTAATTCAAGTGATAGTAAGTGAAAACAGGTTTATGAGGAAATCCCTTTATTCAATGGCCTCAAGTCCTCACAGAGTTACCTCCCTTACACCACTTCAACCGACCGCGCAATGTTTATTCTTGTGGGATGAAATGTGTTGATGTTGTTGTAAAGTGATACACTTGAAACGCTATGATGTTTAACATTCAAACCTTTTAATTTTACAGTTAATAAGACTAATTTTTATAAGGTAATATATGACTTTTAAGTATACTTACAACAGTAAGATGTTCAGATGTTCAGAACACACAGTCAGTCTAAAGCCAAGAAAGTCAGGAATGGTCACTCACGTGGACACCAGGAAGGATACTGGGCAGTACCAGAGAATGTGAAAGTAGGAAAACAGCGGTTGGGCTTAACGGGGATTATGCAGATTATGTGAAACAGAAAATGGTATTGAAAAGGGAATTTTGACTTTCCTAAAATAAATGTGACACATCACAATAAGTAATATGATGTGAATACTGCCACACATTTGCAGGAAGTAACCGTCATTGTTTGAACCGGCTGCAGCTGTAAGTCAGTTTGGGATAGGTGGTGCTTTGGATATGTTGCGCCTTATTCGCTGTATATCACTATACGGAAATGTGTTGCTTAAATGGAACACTGTCTATTGCATTGTTTCGATTGATAGACAATTTAATACGTGTGGGACGGTTCATTTCTGAAAATGTTTATATGATAAGGACCAATATAACATCGATGGCTTTGCACATTTACAAAAGATGACATTTTATTCGGTTGACTGTTTTCTGCACAAATTGTATGTTCAGTGCTGACAATAGTTCGTGCGGATTTTTGGAGACGAATGCATATGTCCAAGTAGAAATAGTTGTATTCGTTCATATAGTTAATTCAGAGTGGCTAATTTGGGTGAAACGTTGTCTCATCAATATATAGCCTGGGTTTGCTTCCCCACAAACGTACAACTTGTGATGTTTGTTTCCCCTCTATTGGAATATTGGTAAAAGCTACAATTTAAAGCCTCTCAAACTCACTCCCACACCCGACTAACACCTCCACTATTCATCTACTCACCCGGTCACCCAGCCACTTTAACCTTATTTTTAGCACACTTTTAATAAATTTGGCAGTGTATTTGCAATACGTTTACGATTGAGTGAGTGAGCAATTTTACAATCAGCAATATTCAAGCCATATGGCGGCGGTCTGTAAATAATTGGTCTGGACCACGCAATCCAGTGATCAACAGCATGAGCATCGATCTACGCAATTGGGATACGATGACATGTGTCAATGAGCCTGACCATCCGATCCCGTTAGTCGCCTTTTACGCCAAACATGGGTTACTGGAGATCAATTCTAACCCGGATCTTCACGGGTATACGTTTTAAGAACAGCTGAATGTTTTGAGATGGTGTGATTAGCGGGGCTACGCTTGGCGAGACACAGAAGGTATGTTCAAGTTTTTTCGAGTCGATTTGGTATGTGTGCGGGAAATGCTATATTAACATGATATTAATAATATAACTGCTCTTTTATCAGAATTTGTACCCCTTCAAAAGTGTTAGCACGGGTGCGAATCAAAACCAGAACGCTTATGAATTAACTACTTTAATTTTTCTGGTGTTGAGCTGTATTCAAAATTTTAAGTTATGATGTGCACCAGCAAGATATTGTTCTTATTACAATATAAATATGGAAGACACGTGATACAAAAATAATTATTCAGATCATTGATATATACTTTTTATTAATTTGTAAAAACATATGAACCTAAAATAGTTTAAAAGATTTGCAGAGCAAACTTCTCTTCAGAAGTTTAATACTTTTATATCAACAACAAACCTGAAACATTCAGACGTGTGTCTTCCATGCAAACTCTTTGAGAGATGATTCATAGTTATTGTTCTAGATCCTAATAGATGATGTACTTTGGAGCAAAGTGAAACGATATTTGTACCTATACCACCCATCAAAACTTTAGACTCACTAGTGTCAATGTAACCACTTACTTTAGGCAACTGTTCTAAACTAGATTTTGAAACATATTCCATACTGTTTAACGGTGCTGTTTACACATGAAATGATGTATTGTCAAACAAATTCATAACGGTGAAAAGATTATTGTCATGAGTTCCATAAATGAAACTCAGTAAAATTGGCGAATTCTTAACAAAACTTTTATACAAAACAGTTCACATGCACGATATTTGCACATGCTTTTCCGCAATTTGATGCATGATCCTCGTGCAGTTCATCTGCATAAGGGTTGCAGTTCGTTCCCAAGTTAGTGGAGAAATTCATCTTCGATGTAACCATATATATACAAACATATATCAGCTTGTGCTGTAAGTGAGTCTAAACTTTTAATGGGTAGTATATTAAACCACGTTGGTTGAGCGAGTTAGGCAGGTGACTTTGTTTGCTGGCGATTAGGTGCCTGACTCTGAGGGTGTGTGTTCGAATCCCGGATGGGACCCAACCCAAAAAAAGTACTAGAATCTGTACTCTACTAAGAAGGTGTAGTCCTAAATATAAAGTGTGTTACATATTAAAATATACACTAATATTGTGAATATGGGCTAATGGCATCTTGTATAAAGGCTACTATTTACTTGTTGGTGTACCTACATGGGATACCTGTGACGATCCAGATCAGAATTGGTCTTCAGCAACCCAAGCTTGTCCTTGAAGGTTACTAACGGGATCGGGTGGTCAGGTTCGCTGTCTGGGTTGACTTGCCATCGTATCCCAGTTGTGTCTATCGATACTCATGATGCTGATCACTGGATTGTGTAGTTCCAACTCGAGAGCTCCCAGCACTTTCTTACGTTGAATAAAACCATGTTCCAAAGCGGTATTCCTTACCTGGTCAGAGTATCGGGACCTACCCTGCACATTAGGCATATATTTGTATGTTCAGACGTACAATACACACTTCTCCGAGACAGTTCCAGATGATCCAACCCGTGAAAATCAGGGAAAGAATAGTTCATCAGCAACCCATGCTTGCCACAAAAGGAAACTATGCTTGTGTCGTAAGAGGTGACTAAAGGGATCGGGTGGTAGGGCTCGCTGACTTGGTTGACATATTTCATCGGTAGCCAGTTGTGAAGATCGATGCTCATGCTGTTGATCACTGAATTGTCTGGTCCAGACTCGATTAGTTACAGACGACGCCATATAGCTGGAATATTGCTGAGTGCGGCGTGAAACTAAACTCACTCACTCCTGATGATCCGAGTGTTCATGCAAGTAACCATTTGAAAAAAACCCCTGATAGACCTGATAACATCCCGTGTTGTGTCAGCCCTACCCCTGGTTTTCACCAAAGTGGGAACCACATATGAGACTTGCATCACTTTAGTTTCTCTGCCGAGATGAACCCGACACGCAATAATAAAGCATTGTTGGAGCCGGTGCTATATCAGATTCAGGCATGATCACATCACTAATAACAATCATAATTAATAAATTACACCTGATTCCATGCTGGATGTTTACACAGACTTTGGCCACATTCACAAGCCGACTGTTTCATGACTGACTGGTCATAGGTGTATAACCATATGTTTTAGGTTCGTTTTTTAAACAAACTTTTTCCAACTCATGAATCGTTGCCGCCTTATTCAAATTCACGCTTGACAGAGTTTGTATAACTTGCTTCAGATACATCTCTCACTTACAAATAGTATTGGTGTGAAACTGATATCGATGTTGAAAACTATTAATAAGTGCCAAAATAGTAACCCTTACGTAATGAAATATTGAGTTATGTACAATAATGATGCTAATTTTGGCGCCTAGAATCCAACATGATGCTGCTGCTCTCTGGCGTTACATTATTACCCTGACGGAATTGTACTTTCAAAGCTGCTTCTAAGCACTTCGCACGGCCGTATAGGTCCGTACATCCGCTACTCAGGTACCCATTTTGAACAGCTGGGTGGACTGAGTGCAATGTGGACGAAGTGCCTTGCCCAGGGACACAACACAGTATGAGACCCTAGTCACAAATTTTGGTGTCTCCATCGGCATTCGAACCCGGGCCTTTGGCGTGAGAGGCCAGCATGCTAACCACTACACCACTGAGCTCCACACTCGGTAATGTTCCTTCTTCACAGATATACCGTTGTTTATGACTGAAGGTTGCAATGGAATAAATCCCGATGCTGAGTATATTTATTTCGTGAGAAAAGCACAAAACAAAATGTAATAAATGTACATGATGTTCGTATCCATGAAATCTGAATTACGCTTCAGTGGTTAAAATCTTTCCATGATTATCATATATTCTCTCATTGGTATTTATTTAAATCAATGTGTTCTTTCCGGGGCCTTGCTTAATGTGTATCTCATGGAACATAATCCGTTAAAACAGAAACAGTCTATAGGCCTTCCCAATCGAGTGAGTGAGTGAGAGAGTGAGTGAGTGGATGGATGGTGGTTGGTTGGTTGGGTGGGTGAGTGGTGAGGTGAGTGAGAGTTGGTGGGTGAGTGAGTGAGTATGTTTCCAGCTCTATAGCGGCGGTCTTTAAATAATCGAGTCTGGACCAGACAATCCAGTAATCAACAGCATGAGCATCGAGAGACGAGACACGTGGAAACAGGTTCTGTCGCAGCTTCCCGCACAGAGTTACTTCCCTTTGAACGCAGTGCTTCGAAACAGCCTAATGTCCTCACAATCAAGTGAGTGAGTGAGTGAGTGAGTGAGTATGGTTTTACCTGCTTTAAGCAATATTCCAGCAATATCAAGGCGGGGAACACCAGAAATGGGTTCCACACATTGTATCCATGAGGGGAGTCGAACCCGTGTCTTCAGAGTGATGAACAGACGCTTTAACAACCGAACCGCCCCACAATCAAATCGGAGAGATATATATAGTGAATGTTAAGCTCTGATGTCGTTGATATAACTGTTTATACTTGCTCTTGTTTTAAGTGGATAGTGCATTTGTTCCACGCTGCAGAATAAATTCTAGAAAATAATGTGATTTGGTTCGTTATTCAGTTCCGTACCTGTAGTGAGTGAGTGAGTTTAGTTTTACGCCGCACTCAGCAATATTCCAGCTATATGGCGGTCCGTACCTGTACATAGTGTTAGAACAGACATTTAAAATCTGCCATTTCTGCTTAACTTAATCCGGAAGTTGTTTAATAGTAGATTTAAACACTTCTTACTTACTTTAAAACCTATCTAATCAGGGAAACCAAAGATTCTGCGAACTTGATTGTATTTCGGAATATGCGTCTCGCTATGTACACGGGGACATTCTATGTCCGCTTCTATCACTTTCACCACATCTCTTCACTGACATCAAATGTGACGTATGTGGATTCACAACTACAATAATTTCATCACAGCTGTTCATTTGGGGATTTAAAACATTTACATTACAGAGTAGAAACTAAACATGGCAATAAATTCATGATTTGAAACAACTTTTGATGAACTGTGGATTCAGTTATTTGTTGTGACATTTCCCAGACATGTATGAAATGTATGATAAACTGGTCAACTACTGCAGAATAATAATCATAACAATAGTCATGTGTGGATGTAAAATGTTTGTAACATCCCCTGAATCCAGTCAAGTAGAAAAACAACACATTTAGCTGACCTCGTTACATTCTTGTACACATCAAACAGCATATAGACAGACAACTTATACGTCCGCCTCAATCACTACAATTACATTTGACAGTTTAAATAAATATGTCACACTTACAAGTTTACACAATGTCATGTTTATTTTATTCTCTAATTCAAGGCGTCATAAATAAGTGACTTCTTGGTGTCAGTCATGGTGATATCTGCCCCACTTATCACCTTCATGTTGACTGTGTAGGCACCTGGCCACCCAACACCAAACATGGGAAGAAGAGACTCGCTCCACTCAACATCCACCTTGGCTAAAACAACCTCTCTGTTGAGGTCTATGAAGGCGAGTCTCCCCTCCCACATCCAGCACAACGCCATAGTGGAGGGTGGCCTGTGTGCCGGGTGTGGCAGACATTGTGTTACTGTAACACTTCTCCCCAGACTTCCCCTGCTGCCACACGTTGGTACAGAGACTCCCCTCGTGTGTGCTCACAGCTCCATACACAGACACACCAGGAGCGGCGCTGGTCACAAACATACGTCCCACTGTCTACCTGGCTCTCCTCTCCTACACCCATCTCCAGGACAACCCCCCCAACCTTCCATACACCACACCCACCCTAGAGTGTGTCTCCCAGTATCGTGGTGTGTGTGGGACAGGGGTGACAGTAGAGGGGGATAGAGGAAGGGGGATGGGGGTGGAGGCACATGTACCCTCATATTTCCGTAACCTGCCGCTGTGTCTGTGTTGTGTGGCGGGCGGCGAGTTCACCAGCTCACCGCCTGTAGTTACGTGGCACCATCTTGTGTTGGCTCGATCAGCGGACAGTTGTAGTTTAGGACCTGGAAATATACATTTTGTTTACAGTTTAACGAATTTCCCGACTTCAGACAACAAATTAGACATTTTATTGTCAACCTCGTTTCAATGTTTACAAAACAGCGCACTGAATATCGGCTGCCATTTTCATCTGTGTGTGAATTGTGTCATAATTGTGCTTTAAATAGAAATTATAAGGCTGCAAAAACATTTGTATGGGTATTCTAAATGTTTTCACACATTTTACTGATTGATTGACAATGAAAAAACACTCTATGAAACATTTCGTCAGAAATTGTCAGTTGAGCTGGTTAGCTGTCAGTAGTCAGAAATAGACACTTGCCGCCTGAAAACACATATATATAAACTTCATATCATGATAAAACTATCATTGTTAGTATTCTAAACTCTTCTTATACGATTTACTAAACAAATGAGACCGACAAAGTAGTTGTTTTGACGATATTTTTTTACATCTGAGTGTTCAACAGACACAGTGTCAACAGGTAACTTCTACGTCCGCTTCAATCACTGACCACAGTTTGAGCACACTCGCTGGGCGGGGAGGGTTGTCGCGTTTTGTGTATCAACTGTGACATGTAGTCTCACATTTTATGAATTTTATTACACAGTTCTGAAACTTGCCATTTTCAGATATCATTACCTTTTTCGTTACAGATTCACCAAGAAATATAACAAGAGAGAGAACCTGGAAGACAGCCTACCTTATCGTTCATTCACACAAGTTTTGACTTACATGGTAATGGGTAAACATTAATCTTTAACGTTGTCATATGAATCCTATTTCCTAACACTCCTTATATTTTGTCCTCGTACAAAAATGGGGTAAAACACGTTAACTCATTCTTGTAAATATTCAATTAACATAAAATCTTCAATTTTCATCTTTGAATAATGATCAAGCACTTACAGTACTGTTATTCCTCACTAAACTATTTTCTGCCTCCTTGCTGAGCGGAGCAATATAACTCCGTGGATGTAATATGCTGCTTCAATATAATATTCATTGCTGCAAAGCACATCATTTTTGCAGTTTATTGTTATAATTCTAGGCTTTCACCTTACACATTTCATCGGCATTAAACAAACTGACACTCGCAATTGGAAGATCATTTTATGATGAACAATAAACATTATCAGATAAGCTGTTTGTTTAATTTGTTAAAGGTAATGAAAGGGATTTTCTGGGCCTAGCCGTTAGTTTAGACAACGGTGGAACAGTTTTAAACTAAACAGAGCCAATTCAAATTTCATTACTACCGTTGCCGAGATAGACAGTTAGCTCGAGTATCGAGGGCGATAGATAGACGCTCCGGGTAACACCTGTAACATGAATCTTCAGTCGTCGGTGAGCAAAATCACGGCTTGGTGTTCCTGTTTCATGTAGTTCTCGTTTACTACCAAGAGTGACGTGAACTGTTGTTTATTGTTTTTGATAAAACTTAATAAGAGGAGGATGAGTTTTAACTGAATATATAGTTGGCTTGTTGATTGTTGTTTAACGCCGCACTCAGCAATATTCCAGCTATATCGCGGCAGTGTGTAGATAATTGAGTCCAGGCAATGCAGTGATCAATAATAGGAGCATCAACCATGTCATCCGATCCGATGCATAGTCGCCATGTCTCCCAACTTCTACGCCTCCCCACAGCGAGCCCGACCACCCGATCCCATTAGTCGTCTTTTACGACAAGTATGGGTACCTGGAGACCAATTCTAACCAGGATCTTCAAGGGTACGCTGAATATAAGACATGTTTATGCTTTTCTAGCCCACAAAAGATTATACGTCATCCATCGTGCTGGGATGTGCAGTGAGGGCGCCATGTGAACAGATTCTTATCAACCTGTAGACGGGGACATTATCTATCATTACTCCAAATGCTGGTATCGGCCGCAACGTTCACGCCCACTTCGAAACATGTTAACAAACTTTTAAAATCTTGAAAATGAAATTCAAGTGGGTATTAGATATGTTACATCACTGACAGAGAATATTTGTATACAGCATGTGTGTATGTGATTAACAGAAGAACTGCTATCTCCTGACCCAAAGATTATTTTATCGAAACCCACCACGGGGGAGGGTTGTACTCAAGTCAACAAAAATATGTCACACACCTGTGATATGCTATGAATTCATTTGCAATCGACATGCGAAAAGAAGAACAGTCCAAAGTAATCCTGGTTAATAAGATATGCGAATAAAATAAAATGAAACACTTTGAATTATTTGATGGCCAGTGATCGATGTTATGAGTTACTCTAAGCTAGGTCGGTGACTCCTTACACATTTTTCATATGACATTTGACCACAATCAAGGTTAGATATTGCGACTTAGATTTCTATCATTTCGGGTAATTGTTAAAACAACCTGCCGACAACAAACGACGCATGTGATAAACAGGACGGTTCATAAGTATCACGAAAGATGGTGCAGCTTTCATCTCACGTGGAAAAAAGCTCCACCTTTGAAAATATCTCCTTTTTTCAACGTCATTCAATCTGAGATACATATTAATTCACGAAACACTCAATATAATCTCTACATAGTGGGGCGGTGAGGTAGCTTAGTAGTTAAAGCGTTCGCTCGTCACGCCGAAGACACGGGTTCTATTCCTCACATGGGTACAATGTGAGAAGCTCATTTGTGGTGTCCCCGGCCGTCATGTACCTGGAAATTGCTAAAAGCGGCGTACAAACTTACTTACTCGCTCACTCTCTAAATAGCAAATAAAAGTCGGAATAGATCGGCAGTTCCGAATGCAAACATCCGTCCGTGTTTCTGTCACCTGAATGACTAATTCATTGACGATATATACTGGATTGTGAGGGGCGGCCATTGTTTCGTAAGAGTATAACAAGAGATCCGGCTCAGCTTCTCACGTGCATCAACTCACATGTATTAAAGATCATCCAACAGTGAATGATCATTTGTGTGTCCTTCACATGATTGAGTGAGTGAGTTTAGTTTTACGCCGCACTCAGCAACATTTCAGCTATATGGCGGGGGTCTGTAAATAATCGAGTCTGGACCCCTATCAATAGCATTCCTGTACCTCATGTCTAAGAATAAGTCATAATAGAGTATACCTAGAACCACATCCAAGAAGTGAGGATACTTCTATAAACCCAGTGAAAAGTCTTATTTTAAAATAACTGTGAGTGTTTCTACAAACCCAATACCACGTTCAGTGTTTTTATAAATCTGAGAACACCGACATACACCGTGTCTTGTGTTCAAAGGGCAGTGGTGTGGTCCAGTGGTTCGCTCCTCACGCCGATGGCCCAAGTTCGATTCCTCACATGGGTACAATATGTGAAGTCCATTCCTCATGACTGCCGCCATGATCTTGCTAGAATATTCACTCACTCAATCTTGTGTTCAAGGGACAGACCATTATACCACAGCAGTGCGGTGAGGAGATTCTGCGTTTCAACTATGTATAACATAAAAATTCAGACTTCAGAGAAACACCAAGCTCCAAACACAGTGTGGAAGGGATTCATCATCAGCGGGTACATCATCCCGTGTACAGCACGCACAGTACAACATCCAGTGTACAGCACGCCCAGTACAGCATCGTGTGTACAGCACGCCCAGTATATCCTCCCGTGTACAGCACGCCCAGTACAGCATCCTGTGTACGGCACGCCCAGTACAGCATCGTGTGTACGGTATTCCGTGTACAGCACGCCCAGTACACCATCCAGTGTACAGCACGCCCAGTACATCATCCCGTGTACAGCACTCCCAGTACAGCATCCCGTGTACAGCACACCCAGTACAGCATCCCGTGTACAGCACGCCCAGTACATCATTCCGTGTACAGCACACCCAGTACAGCATCCCGTGTTCAGCACGTCCAGTACATCATTCCGTGTACAGCACACCCAGTACAGCATCCCGTGTACAGCACGCCCAGTACATCATTCCGTGTACAGCACACCCAGTACAGCATCCCGTGTTCAGCACGTCCAGTATAGCATCGTGTGTACATCATCCTGAGTACAGCACGCCCAGTACAGCATTGTTTGTACGGCATCTCGTGTACAGAATCCCGTGTTGTTTAGGAGTAATTATGTATAAGATAACAACCTCTATTACAATATCAGACTTCAGAGAACCACCAAGCTCTCAATACACTGTGTGGAAGGATTCAGCATCAGCGGGTACATCATCCCGTGTACAGCACGCCCAGTACATCATCCCGTGTACAGCACGCCCAGTACATCATTCCGTGTACAGCACGCCCAGTACATCATCCCGTGTACAGCACGCCTAGTACAGCACGCCCAGTACATCATCCCATGTACAGCATGCCCAGTACATCGTCCCGTGTACAGCACGCCCAGTACACCATCCCGTGTACAGCACGCCCAGTTCAGCATCCCGTGTACAGCACGCCCAGTACAGCATCCCATTCCCGTGTACAGCACGCCCAGTACATCATCCCGTGTACAGCACGCCATGTACAGCTACCTGTGTACAGCACGTGCAGTACATCATCCCGTGTACAGCACGCCTAGTACAGCACCCCTCGTACAGCACGCCCAGTACAGCATGTGTACAGCACGCCCAGTACATCACCCCGTGTACAGCACGCCCAGTACATCATCCTGTGTACAGCACGCCCAGTACAGCAACCTGTGTACAGCACGCCCAGTACATCATCCCGTGTACAGCACGCCCAGTACATCATCCCGTGTACAGCACGCCCAGTACAGCACCCCGTGTATAGCACGCCCAGTACAGCATCCCGTGTACGGCATCCCGTGTACAGCACGCCCAGTACATCATCCCGTGTACAGCACTCTTAGTACAGCATCCTGTGTACAGCATCCCCTGTTTAAACAGCAGTCAGTACCCTATCCTGTTTATGATTGATTGGTTGGTTGGTTGTTTAACGCTGCCCTAAGCAATATTCCAGGTATATGGCGGCGGTCTGTAAATAATAGAGCCTGGACCAGACAATCCAGTGATCAATAGCATGAGCATCGAATCCGCATTGGAATACGATGACATGTGTCAAGCAAGTCAGAAAGTCTGACCACCCGATCCCGTTCGTCGCCTCTTACGACACGCATAGGTATCCTGTTTATGAAGTGCGGACAATGTCGCTCCATCAAGTGTTGAAGACAGTTAGCATCTGATTGTACTCACACTGCAGAGCCACCGGCGTCATCGTCCCTGTTTCACGTCTGTTGGTTTCACGCCCAGCTTCTGCAACATATATCCTTGCTGTATGTCGAAGAATCACGGAAAGAGCACATGCATATATATATTTGAAAGTATAAACTGAATTTGGTTTTAAGAATTATAGTAGGTTTAAAGATCGGGGTACTGCTCTTTTGAACACACCATAACATCTATCAACACAAATTCTCAGTCCATTTAATTCCCGAAGTGCTCTTTAATGGTCAACTCCATTTAAAATATCGTGCCAAAGTGATTAAAGTCTAACACTGAACACTTATCATAACATTATTTCTATTCAAAATTGTGACTGCGTGGTATCAAAAATATTCTTACTATCAAACATTATTTCCTATTTAAGTGGTGTTGGATCATAAGGAACTTCCAGGAACTCCACCTTTTTAACAAAAACACACGATTAAAACAACAGTAGCTTCGTTTAAAATCTAACATACAAACATCAGTTTAATGTACAGACAACAATAACATTTAATGTCGTCGGGTGATCGTAATTTGTTTATGATAAATACTTATGAAAGAACAAGACATATATAAGTATGTTTACTGATTAAGAAGTACTTACATGCTCGTGTGTTCTCTCTGCATCAGTTACATGACTGTCATCTGTCTGTGTATCTTTGTCTGTAAAATGACCAACAGTCAAATCAAACAGTTGACGATTTACTGAGAAATGTATAGATCGAACATTTTCATCATACCATCTTAAAGTGACAATAAGGTGAATAATCCGCAAAAAGCTCATGAAATATTTTGTATATTCTTGACAAAGCTTCAATCGAAAAGACTTGACATATATATGGACATATTGTCAGCTGAAGTAAGTACCTGATGGTACTGAGCCATATCCACTGATACACCCGAATTTGGAAATTTCGGATTTCAACTTATCCAGTCTTCTCGTGTTGAAAGCGGCTGCAGGTGTCCTGTGCGTGTCTGGTGGAACTGATGTGAGGTACGTCTTTGTTGTGTCTTGTATTGAACTCTCCAGTGTCAGAAAGTCCGAGTTTGAAGCATATCTGAGAACTGTCTTGATGTAGTCTGAGGTCCACTTGCATCTTTGACTCTCGCCTTCAGATGTAACTTGCTCGGTGTGTAGATTTGACAGTTCCTGCTTCGTCTGATTCTCAAGATCAATGATCAGCTCCTTCTCTCTTTGATCGAGTTGTGTCCTCAGAGAATGGAAAGTGTGGTGGATGGTCTCCTTCAGATTACTGCTTGTCTTTTTGGTGTCATTCACGGCTTTGCTGATGCTCTTCAGATATGCTTGGTGAGAAGCATGATGTGCAGTCACGTTCTTCCCATGTTGTTCTATCCGTTCTTTAGCAGCACCAGCAGCTACATCTGCATCCCCAACATCGTGCTCAGCATGCTCGCCAAGTCTGCATTTGGCACAGATCAAAATGTTACAGTTTTTGTCAAAATACTCAAGAGGATAAGGGCTGTGAAGTTTGCAAACTGGTTTAGTATGTATGCTTCCCGGTGTTGTATCCGTAAAGGTTTCAACAACATGTATTCTGGTAGCTTTAAAACGATTGTGCAAGTTCTGGCAGTATTCACAAAGGAACTCTTCACACTCTGGACACCAACACACAGCCTGGTTGCCGTCATCATTTGAACAGAGAAACTCTGTGGGGCGGTGTTTGACTGTCAGGTAGTATACTTCCTTTCTTCTCACCACATCCTTCTTGGGTGGTGTATCTATGAGGTTGACCTCCCTCTGACAAGTAGAGCATAATATCACACCACCAGCTGCAGATGTGACACACGTCTCACACACGGCGTGTAGACAGGGCAGTAGGTAGGGGGCGGGGCCTTTTAGGGTAAACTGCTGCTGACAGACAGTACACTTGGGGAAGGCGTCCATTCTGAAACAAATAATATCGGTGTCTCTATTCAATCGATTCCACTTCATAAGAATGGCATATTGATTCCAGGAACATACATGCACAGAACAGAAGTATTTGATCAAAATTGCATTTGAATGAAACATTCACAGTCACGGATAATGAATTATTTGAGCAAGCAATGAATGTTTTCCTAAGCACAGCCACTTAAACAAGCGATTGTAGTTTCAAATTACTTTCCTACGCATTTTAATATGTAAGTTTGATTCTAGCGGACTTCTGCTGTCTATCTCAATCACACAGATTGTTTCTTGGAGTAATTTACTCTTCTTGCTCACAGACCATTATACACTATTTACTCTTCCCGTGCCTCCAACCCTTTTTGATTTTTACTAATGTATCCTTTTTCACAGAATCCCACACTTTTTACACCTTATATTTTAATATCAATAGGTACTATTCACTAAATCCGATTTTCCAAAACAATGTGTTACCTACCAGTTGACTTTATATTCACTTCACCTGTCGTCCCATACCTGCCATCTACCAGCAGACACTATTCACTTCACATCTAACCCTCACACCTGATATCTACCAGCTGACACAATTCCCTTCACCTGTATCCCCCAAACCTGCTGTCTACAAGCAGACACTATTCACATCATGTGCATCCTCCACACCTGCTATCTACCAGCTGACACTATTCACTTCACCTGCATCCCCACACCTGCTATCTACCAGCTGACACTATTCACTTCAAATGTATTCCAACACCTGCTATCTACTAGCAGACATTATTCATTTCACCTGTATTCCGACACCTGCTGTCTACCAGCTGATATTATTCACATCATGTGCACCCTCCACACCTGCTATATACCAGCAGACACTATTCACTTCACCTGCATCCCCACACCTGCTGTCTACAAGCAGACACTATTCACATCATGTGCATTCTCCACACCTGCTTTCTACCAGCAGACACTATTCACTTCACCTGCATCCCCACACCTGCTGTCTACAAGCAGACATTATTCACTTCATGTTCATCCCCCAAACCTGCTATCTACGACCAGACACTATTCACTTCACTTGCACCCCACACACCTGCCGTCTGCAAGCTGACACTATTCACTTCCTCTGTATCCCCACACCTGCTGTCTACAAGCAGACACTATTCACATCATGTGCATCCTCCACACCTGCTATCTACCAGCAGACACTATTCACTTCACCTGTATTCCAACACCTGCTATCTACTAGCAGACATTATTCACTTCATGTGCATCCACCAAACCTGCTATCTACGACCAGACACTATTCACTTCACCTGTATTCTCACACCTGCTATCAACCAGCAGACACTATTCACTTCACCTGTATTCCAACACCTGCTATCTACTAGCAGACATTATTAATTTCACCTGTATTCCCACACCTGCTATCTACAAGCAGACATTATTCACTTCACCTGCATCCCCACACCTGCTGTCTACAAGCAGACACTATTCACATCATGTGCACCCTACACACCTGCTATATACCAGCAGACACTATTCACTTCACCTGTATTCAAACACCTGCTATCTACTAGCAGACATTATTCATTTCACCTGTATTCCCTCACCTGCTATCTACCAGCAGACATTATTCTCTTCACCTGCATCCCCACACCTGCTGTCTACAAGCAGACACTATTCACTTCATGTGCATCCACCAAACCTGCTATCTACGACCAGACACTATTCACTTCACCTGTATTCCAACACCTGCTATCTACTAGCAGACATTATTAACTTCACCTGTATTCCCACACCTGCCGTCTACCAGCTGATACTATTCACTTCATCTGTATGCCCACACCTGCTGTCTACCAGCACACTATTCACTTCATGAGTATCTCCCAAACCTGCTATCTACCAGCAGACACTATTCACTTCACCTGTATTCCAACACCTGCTATCTACTAGCAGACATTATTAACCTCACCTGTATTCCCACACCTGCCGTCTACCAGCTGATACTATTCACTTCATCTGTATGCCCACACCTGCTGTCTACCAGCACACTATTCACTTCATGTGTATCTCCCAAACCTGCTATCTACCAGCTGACACTATTCACTTCACCTGTATTCGCACACCTGCTATTTACCAGCAGACATTATTCACTTCACCTGTATTCCTACACCAGCCGTCTACCAGCTGATACTATTCACTTCATCTGTATGCCCACACCTGCTGTCTACCAGCACACTATTCACTTCATGAGTATCTCCCAAACCTGCTATCTACCAGCAGACACTATTCACTTCACCTGTATTCCAACACCTGCTATCTACTAGCAGACATTATTAACTTCACCTGTATTCCCACACCTGCCGTCTACCAGCTGATACTATTCACTTCATCTGTATGCCCACACCTGCTGTCTACCAGCACACTATTCACTTCATGTGTATCTCCCAAACCTGCTATCTACCAGCTGACACTATTCACTTCACCTGTATTCCCACACCAGCTATTTACCAGCAGACTATCCACGTCAACTGTATCCCCCCAAACCTGCCATACGACTAGACAGCATTTACTTCACGTCTATCCCCCACACATGATATCTACACACACTATTTACTTTACCTGTATCCCCCAAACCTGCTATCTACGACCAGACACTATTCATTTCACGTCTATCCCCCACACCAGACACTATTCACTTCACCTGTACCCCATCACTTGCTAACTACCAGCAGACACCATTCAGTATTCACCCACCCCTTGCGCTGTCGGCCACTATGCACAATTTCCTCCACACGTATCTGACACACATTATGCTATCGACCCGTATTTACGAGTCACCCCACACGCAGGTTTCCTTGACCTACATATCCTACTGCACAGTTGCCGGGTGTTTAGGTCATCGTGACATGTCTCCAACATTGTTAATCCTCTAAAAATAACCTGTCCTACCTGTCGCGTTGCTACGTTTATGCCCCTTTGAAAGCATTCATAGCGACGATATTGAATACTTCAAAGTCCTGTTACAACTACAGGATTCAGGTTATTCCTTGTAAATACGTCCAAATAAACACCGTTTGTAACTGCCACAAAGTCAGACAGATCTGTTCTTGCTTTTTAAGAGTTAAATTACACGGATCGTGCACACCTCTCTAAGAGGAATGGCGTCTGAAGTAGGACTGACATCGATAGGATTAACTGTTGGATTTGACGCTCGACTGTGTAAGCTTAAATCCTGGCCAGAGTAGATACTTTATGAGTTATTATTTTCGCGTACATATTTCGCTGATTTCCACTGCAAGTATATCTTTATCAAGACAGATTTACTGGGATGTGTTGAGACAGCACAAGACACACCTACCTGGAGGTTCGGCTTCCTTGTTGTACATGTCACTTCCGTTCATGCGCGAGCTTTATCGTAATCGAATTTGATATGTTGCATAATGCTTTGAGGTGGATGTCGTTCAAGCTGGAATATTTGATGACAGTGTCCGTTATGATGAGATAAAAGTTTTACTGTTGTCCCATCGCGGGTCCGTGTGATGTGGGAGGGAAGTTCTGTACACTGTTATCAACTGAATTAATTTGACAGCGAAACAAATTGTGAGACGAATTATTTCTGTTAATGCATCAGCTCATGACGAAGAAGGCCCTGGTTGATTCCCTAAAAAGGATCCAGCATGTCAATCCCATTTCATATGTCCACCACCATCATCTGGTTAGAATATTTGTAAAGCGGATCACCCAACCATCACTCACTCACTCACTCAACCACTCAACCACTCACTCAACCACCCACCCAACTAAATATACCATATATACCGCGTTCATTCATCCGAAGGGTTGTGATAGAATAGCGACCTGTCACAGCCACCCTCACAGAGTTACCTCCCTTCGACCGCTAGCGTTCCCTGTAGCTGTGACGTTAGATGGACTGTTCCACCATGTTCGTGCGGAGAATTAATCCAACTGACGCCAGTTTGTAACAGGAGACCTATGCCTGGGTGAAATCGGCGATATTTTACGAGAGAAATCCCAACAATGAAACTTCGTCACAAACCCAACTTTGTGTGCTGGCGATTTTGCGCCGCACGCTGAGTGAGTGAGTGAGTATGATTTTATTCTGCTTTTTAGCAATATTCCAGCAATATCACGGCGGTGACACCAGAAATGGGCTTCACGCATTGTACCCATGTGGGGAATCGAACCCGGACCTTCGGCGTGTCAAGCGAACGCTTTAATCACTAGGCTACACCACCCTCCCCCGCACGCTGAGGCAGGACTGGGCCAAACTTATGTTTGCAAATTTGTCATGTACTGAGAAAGTATCACCCGAAACAAAACTACGTTACATAAACTGGCATAACTCTCTATGATGCTACACTGGTCTCTAGGTATTACACACTAGAAATAGTGGATGAATGATTCTGTGATAAATAACATTTCATCAACTGCCCTATGATGTAAAGTATACCAACGTTTGTGAGCAAAAAAATGTTTAAACTATGGTTGTAAGAGTGAGTGACTGATTTTATATTGAACGTCACATCGGCAATATCTCAGCCATATCGTGACGATAACAATTTATACAATAGAAATGAAAACATTTTGAAGGGGTAAAACCTATCGACAATTGACAGTAAGATACTAGGGTATTTCAGATATGAACATAAAACTAGCATATAAAACTTAAACATTATAGTACAATATAAATCACGGGCTGTAGATCGCCAACAACTGAAGACTGATCACCATACTAAGAACGATGGGGACTTACATTACTTTTGCTACATGTATGGACCCTAGCCGGATTTACACCATCCCTTCAGCCACTGGAGATGGTAGGAAGATTTAGCCGAAAGTTAAAATAAACAAAATACTACGATTAAAAAGTATGGTTGAGCGAAATTGACTTTGAAAGTTATCGGGACTTGCGTACCTTCTCAGGAGGACACATTTTTACGACACTTTAACCCCCTTTGAGGATACAGCCACTAACAATCGAAGTTGCTAATTCATACTAGCATGTTTAAAAAATCATATATCTATTTGCAAAAAATATTATTAAAAATTTATGTAATAATTCTATTTCCTTTAAATTTTCCATAATTAAATGATAATTAACATTATAAAACAGATCCTTAATTGTTTTGACATTGAAATATTTATCCCTTGTGATGGAAATATCATGGCAATCAAGCAGGACATGCTTGACTGTGATTTTCTCATCACAAGGGATACAAAACGGAGGATCTTCACCTTTGATCAAATACTCTAGTATTGTATCTAGTTATGGTGGTGAGAAGTGTCAATTTTCTTTAACTGCCCTGTTTTATACCAGTAATTAGGCCAACGTTTGTGAGCCAATGCTTAAAGTACGAAGGAGAGAAGTGCCAATTTCACCAACTGCCCCATGATATTAAATATTGTATTCTTTTGTTTTAATATTCTTAATTGTATATTACAGGTCTTTCGGGAAATCATCACGCCGAAGACCCGGGTTCGATTCCCCACATGGGCACAATGTGTTAAGCCCATTTCTGGTGTCCCCCGCTGTGATATTGCTGGAGTATTCCTAAAAGCGGCGTAAAACTAAACTCAGTCAGTCTCAGTCTTTCAGGAAATAAATACTGTTAAACCAAATATTGTTGGTTCATTACACTGAACCAGTTTGTACCAATGAATTGTACCTCGATGCGAGGCGTTTGGCAAGAAAACACTCAACCACTGGGTTACCCCACTAAAGGCAAAAACTCAAACCCTCAGTCTTGGTGAGGTATATTTAATTCCGATTTGAACAGGATTTCTGTTGTGCGAGGAAATACAAACTTCACGTGAAAGAAATATCTAAGGTAGTGCAAGTGTTTACTACTCTAGGTAAACACTGAATCTTTTGTATGCGCCCAAGTTCCCGGGAGCTCTTGGCTGAGCCGAGTGTCTGAAACCGTCAGTTTTAGACTGTGAATGAGTGACTGGGAGAGTTTAGTTTTACGCCGCATTCAGCAATATTCCAGCTATATGGCGGCGGTCTGTAAATAATCGCGTTTGGACCTGACAATCCAGTGATCAACAGCATGAGCATCGATCTGCGCAATTGGGAACCGATGACATGTGTCAACCAAGGCAGCGAGCCTGACCACCCGATCCCGTTAGTCGCCGTTTACGACAAGCATAGTCGCCTTTTATGACAAGAATGGGCTGCTGAAGACCTATTCTACCCCGGATCTTCACGGGTCGTTTTTGACTGTGCTTACCTGGAATATGATCTATACAGGCATGATGGAAAGTTACTTCCTCAACCTAGTTTAATCTCTGAGCCCTAAGATGTTAAGTCTCCAGACACCATACCTACCGACAGTGTGTCCCATGAATACTGTGAGAGCTCGTAACATGACCATCATTTCGTTTATCCTTGAATATCCGAATTATGATTGGCGTTCGGCAACCCATGCGTGTTGATAGAATCGACTAACGTGATCAGATCATCAAGCACGCAGACATGGTTGATGCGTGTCCTTATATCCCAGTTGCATAAATCGATGAACCTGATGTCAGTCACTGAATTTTCCGGTCCAGACTCTATCATGTACAGATCTCCGTCGCATAGCCAACAAACAGAAGCTTTAAACAAACAAGCAAACAGAAAAACACTAAATTTACTCTTTGTTTGCTTAGAACTATTTGCAAAAATCTTGATCCGGACGCATCTGTTTTCGTCATCCCCAATTGATAGCTTGAGCAACAGTCCATGCCGACCCCGTATGATGACAGTCAGACCCGTGAAGATCCGGGTTAGAAATAGTCTTCAGCAACCCATGCTTGCCGTGAGAAGCGACTAACGGGATCGGGTGGACAGGTTAACTGACTTGGTTGACACACCATTGTATCCCAACTGCGTAGATCGATGTTCATGCTGTTGATCACTAGATTGTCTGGTCGCTGTTTTATCTAGAAACATTTCCCAAGCATTGAGACTCTACATAAAAAAATCAGTCTAAATTAAGACTATCGCCAAGTGTTCTAACTTTAAAATGAATTAAGTCACAAATTAGTGATAACCGTGTATATTTATTTGAATGTTATTCTTCATTTCGCCCTTCCGCTATCTTGCTGCTCATGTTGGGGATGGCAAACATAGAAAATGTACGAATGTCCAAAGAGGTTTTTCTTACGAAGACTAGTCAGCTCCATATACACCAATGATACTGCAGGCAGACTGGTATTGCAAAGTGACAGTGAATGAATAGGGTTTGGGCAACTTTAATTATAACAATATTTCGGCAATACAACGGTACCTAAAAGGCTCCACGACATGGACTTTACCCTTCACGAACGAATGTTTTAACCACTAGGCTACCCTACCGACCACGACGTGAATATTAGTTAGATCAAAGTCGGTCTTTGCAAACGCCAACTGCCATTTATTAAATGAAAACTGCTGAGTCAAGGGATACGGTAAGGACGTCTCACATTGACTTGCATATTTTCCACACCCAAAACACCCATCTCTTCATTGATTATAAACTTGTAATGTTTGCTCAATAGCTGGGACTGAAAGATAACGGTGGACGCTAAATATCTAGGTCATATCTAGGTCATTAACTGGGATCATTCGCTGGTAGTTTCAAATCAATATGTATGTGTGGTGGGCGACGTATGTTGTGGAAAGTATATTTTGATTTCTTTGGCAAGCATTTATGTTTATGATTAACTTCGTGTAAGTAATATGACCAAATTGGTTATATATTTTCGTATTCAAATAAAATGTACCCCCCGAAGATCCGGGTTAGAATTGAGTTTACAGCCACCCATGCTAGTCGTAAGAGGCGACTAGTATCGGATGGTCGGGCTCCCTGACTTCGTTGACACATATCACAAATGCATATATCGATGCCTATGGTGTCAATCACTCTACTGTCTGGTCCAGACTCGATTAATTTACATACCACATTTAGCGTGGAGCTAAAGAACAAACAGACCAACAAACAAGATAAACAAGTCAAACAAAATGATCCGAAACATGGTATGCACATGGTATGCACAAGGTATGCACATGGTATGCACATGGTATGTACGCATGTAGCTTCACATGAATAGATAATATCGTCATCAAGGCAAAGAGGGTTTCCAACTGTTGTTGATTTAATAACACCTTTTTAAACCTTCATATCATGTTCAAAGCTACACCTCAAAATAATACCTGATTAATTTTCTCACGTAACGGAGCAAAACCACTGAGTCACGCAGGTACACACGAGCCCTAGACATGCGGGTGGGCAACTTTGAGGGTTTAGTCATTAGCCGCTTTATCTTGGCCTCGTCGTTGTGGACTGAGCGTTGTAGGTGAGCGTCTAGCTCTATATTCTGTTTTTGTCTGTAAATGAATTTGTTCCAAAACGTCCCTCTGGGATGTGTTTGTTTATCTGTTTATCAGTTTGTTGTTTTGACGCCGTATT